ATTACTACAATTAATAGCAGCAAACAGTAAGGCACTCATTTTTTGTCAATCCGTCTCTGTGCTGGGACGCAACGCTCGAACCTCGCAGCTTGACGGACGGAATTCAACTGAAACGCTTTGCAACCTGCCGATATTCGACAGCTTCTAAAAACTGGCAGAAAATATTTGCGAGAGTGCAACTACTCTTTTCCTTAAACTATGCTTACAGTAGCTTACTTCGGGTTTCTCTTATTACCGATTCTGAACCGTCCTAGAACTGTGATGCGCATGCGCAGAAAGAAATATAAAGACATTATTTCATTTGCGCATGCGCTGCAGAGTTCTGGGACGGTTCAGAATCGGTAATAACAAGAACCCGAACAAAGCTAGTACCTCGATACCTAGCAAGCTTCAATACAGTGTTTTTTATTGAGTCATCAAAACCCTACATCTGACAATGTTAAGACAAATGAGTTTGGCCAACGATCACTAATGGAATGTCACGTTCTCGACATTTTCTCTTTCCAGGGTAAAACATATATAATGTCAAAAACTTTAATAAAATACAAAAAAGATAATATACAGGGTAATTCACCTCATTCGACACGGCGCCGGCATATTGTATCTAGACGATTAGATTTTTAGAAAATGCGAGTAATAGGATCGTTGGACCGTCATAGGAATGTCAATATTCCAAGGGTATGTTGATGAGATCTAAATTATAAGGAAATGCATTTTCTGTGCAAACTTGAAGAGATAAGTAAAAATGGTATAATACAATTTCATAGACAATTATATTGTGCATCTGATTCACGTAAAATATACAAGGTGTTCTATTTAAATTAAACAAGATATTGACATTTAAAGCTAGTAATTATCTAAATACAAATTTTTAGACACTCTGTATAAGGTAGTATAATTTTTATTATGCCAACACAAAATTTAGTAAATAGAAAAATGTCAGTACAACATTTTTTTTTAAAAAGTTAAATTCGCCTAGAGAAATGAAGGATTAAAATCGTCTGTGTATTTTCACATAATCGTAAAAACGATTTCACCTAAAGTGCGGTAAACCTTAATCTAATTTACCTTATTTTAATCGTAGAAACTAAAAATGTAATAATATATAGGATGTTCCATTTAAAAAAATACAACTTTGATATTTTTTATTTATTTGGGACACTCTGTACCTTTTGAAAATAGTCTTCCAACGAGCTCATCACTCAAATTCACGATTTCCAAAAATCCAATCGTTTGGCTACAGTACTCTTGTATTTCCTCCGCTACAACCCTATTTTTCCCTATAATACTTATTTTTTATTCAGTTCTTCTGTCGAGACCTAAGCTTCCAAACGGGTGCGAAATCTATAAAATGCAATTTATTATTCGCAAATATATTTATAAAAAAAGGGAGAATTCAATATCGTTTGTACGCTCGATAATAAAGCGAAATTCAATTTCAAAAAGAACTTACAAAGAACGTACGGCAAATATTGCCCGATTGATTTGCTTGTGAAAGGGATAATAGAAAACATACCCTCAATATACAGGGTGAGTCTTAAATAAGTGCAAATATTTTCAAGGATGGTGGATTTCGATAAAAGAAACATATATTTTCTCTTTACCGTTTTTCAAATAAGTCCAAAATAACCGAGTTATTTTACTTTAAAAATTAAAAAGATATGATTTTTTGGTTAAATTTTGATAACCACTGGATCTTTTCTAGGTTTTCTTTCTTGTATATTTAATGTATTACTTATGGTGCCATATCAATATATTATGCTTTTTAACTTAAAATTAAAAAAATTTCCAAAACGTCATAAAGAATCTCATAAACGTGTGTCTGTGGTCGAAATATACCACCCCTAAAAATATTTGCACTTATTTAAGGCTCACCCTGTATAAGAGGTTCGAAAATAGGCAACAAAATTTTACTAGTTTATTTTAGGGGTAGACGCCTTGATGTTAAATTTTTTAAATACATTGATAAAATGTTAAAAAAAAAGTTCAAATATTGCCAGTCCCATAATCGTACCGGTCGGTGTATTTAGTATATAAAATATTTAACATTTTTCTCCCTAGAAAAATAAAAAAATATATCAAATTATTTCTACCATAGAATACAATCAAATAAACACCAGTAATAACAACCTGTGTACGTATTTTCTATTTTTGTTTCCCATAAGTCTTCCTATAAAAATATAGAAATAGTATAAGAAACACTAAACTAAAACAAAATAAGCACTAACAAACTGTCGGGCAAACGGAATTGAAAAAGGCGATTTATTTAAATTGGCCTCATACTTGTCGAAACTAAAGGCGTATAACGGGAAATTTACAATGCCAAATTGCTGGAAATGTGGCAGTGGTGTGTGAAAAATATGCTACACATAAACTGGAATATCGAGATACAAGCCTATAAATTTCTGTAGTATATTCCAGTGAAAGGGGAGAATGTTGTTATATTTTCTGATGCAGGGAAGTGCCAGTTAGATTATGGATTTTTTGGGGGAATGAAGGACGATTTTATCAAAATTATTGTTTTACGATAGTAATCATATTACAACAACATTTCCAGGATGATCTCTAAATTTAATATTATTTTTATTATTTTCATTGTCATTCGCCTGCTTCTCTGTACAGGGTGTTTGGTGTTTCTACGGGATAACCAAGATGTATTTTTTAATTAAATATGAAATTTTCGAGGAAATTTTTTAACAGTAGTAATTTCAATATGGAGGTCAATGGAAATCGTTAGCCAAAAAAAAGATTTGTTAGATTTCAGTATTTTTCGTATAACATCAGTTAAAACTTTAAGGTAGGTTCATATACCGGCGAATTGAGAAATGCGAATTTCGCAAAATAACTTCGTCTTTTATTTACGTAGTCATATAACAATGAATTCTAGGGATATTTGTTTTTTTAAACACATGTTGAAAATGTCACCTGATTAAAGAATTTTATTTATAGGTTTATTTTTATAAGAATGTTTTTGTGTAATTGATGAAGCTACTTTTGGCGTAGAAGATGGTCTATTGCTGTATATTTATTAATAAAAAAACAACAAAAGTAAAATACATATAGTAAGTACATATAGAACAATGGAACATGCGAAATATTTAAAAAGTGATATTAGCAATGGTGATCACAATTTTTTGCAATAAATGAGAATTAACGATGAAAAACATTTAGAAACTACCACAGAATATCTATAAAGGAGTTTGATTCCCGATGGTTTTGAAAATGTTCCAACAATATTACCAGTTTGCAATCAAAACATTGAACTTCGTACCTACTACATATTAAAAAAAATAAATTAGACTGTAAAAAATTAAGTATCTAATAATGATTGTGTAAATTTTTTTTATACCTTTTCAGTTTATTCCATCTTCACCAATGTTTATATTATTATAACTATAACAAGAAATAAATGACAAGAGATGACATACAGGGTGACAATTTGAAAACGAACAGTATTTAATATTGCCTCTACAGATGAGAGTATGAAAATTTGGCGAAACACGTCAATGCACATATCAAGGGGGACAATTTTTAAGGCATTTGTTGTCGTGTTAATTTCAACCCCTTGACCCCCAGGGCACCTACCCCTAAAATTTTAAATAGCACCCGTATTTCTTTTACCATTTTTTTTTTCTTACAGAATTCTACATAAACTGCATTATTTTATCATTAGTTTATCGAGGGTCACAGTGCAGTACCTCGTATCATTTTTGATAGGATTTGTGAGGAAATCCAAAAAAAATTATTAAATAAAAATTAAAATTAAAAATTAATTATTTAATAAAAATCAAATTATTATTTTTTAATGAATAATTATCTTATAGAGTCGAAATATCAATACTCTATTACCAAATAAAATATTTTTAATTATTTTTGTGAAAATATTACTAAAATTTAAAAAAAAATAATAATAAAATTTTATTAAAAAAGTCATATGAGGTCCTGCCTTGTGACCCTCGTTATGTAGAATGTTATAAGGAACACAAAAATGGTAAAAGAAATAGGGGTTGCCATTTAAAATTTTAGGGGTAGGTGCCCTGGGGGTCAAGGGGTTGAAAGTAACACGACAACAAATGTCTCAAAAACTGTCCCCCTTGATATGTAAATTGACGTGTTTCGCCAAATTTTCATACTATCATCGGTAGAGGCAATATTAAATACTGTTCGTTTTCAAATTGTCACCCAGTATATTATAACCCAAAAACTCAAGATTCGCAGCGAACATTCGCAAAAATTAAATCAGTGTCAATATTCCCGCCCCCCAGATTTCACATTTTGCGAATTCGCAAAATATTAAAACAGCTTTCTGTCAATTTTGCCGCCTCCGCATTTTTTATAAACCAATAACAACAATATGTATATGAACCTACCTTTATTTTTACGTCATCAAAATTTGTATTTCAAACAGCAGTTGGAACTTTAGCAGTTAATTATAAATTATAAATAACCTGTTAAAGTATAGAGATAACTGTAATTTTTATTGTTTTTATTGCTAAACAGCTGAAACACTGAAAAATATACAATTATTTTTTAATAAACATTTCATGTCATGTGATTACACAGGGTGTCCTAATTTTGGAATTTTGGAATCTCCCGTTTATGAGTAGAGATACAAAGAAGCGGTTTGCACACCACTCTGCTATTTTTTTTATGAAACTAAAGATAATACATACAGTCCAAGCCTTCTTAGTTCCCGAAATACGTTTCTTCTTCCGATTATCAGAATCTGCGCATGTCTTTGTTAGTCAATCAGCTTTAAATTCCTATTGACTTTGCAATACTTTGTTACTAAATCCACTAAATTTTGATACTTTTTTGTGTATTTACTTTTTGGGATTGGTAAATTTTATCGTATGTTCTACTACTATTAGTATTTAGCTTCTATCCCTAGAAATATTATATATAGTTTTGTAGCAATTTTATTAACACAAGTATATTTTAGGAAATAAATATTAATAAACGGCGAAACTAAATTAATGTTAATAATAATGTTTCTTCAGAAAAGCCAAAATACATGCTACTCTGCACCCTCTACATCCTGGTTGGTTTAGCCCTAACCTCAACTATAATAGAGCTTGTACGCAGACAGTATGCACAGTCCTGGAGACAACTACAAGCACTGCGAGGACCTCTAGCTGAGAATTTCAGGAAATTAGCAGATAACGCTCCTGGCCTGGACGTTCTAGCCTTCCAACAGGACTTAATGAAAGTCTTAACAGTGGTTAGTATATTATTTTATAAGTATCTTCCTTTTTATAAAGATTTGTAAGAATTGTCACTTTTAACAAGATTGGCTCCAATTGAACAACTTTTATAATAGCAGTAATGCTTTCAATTTTGCTCGTACAAACTCATAAACAAATTAACACAGTTAAAACTATCGTTTGTGTTAAATAGCATTAAATTACTACAATAACGCATGAACGTATAAAACTGTAAATAACTATTCGTCAAAGTAAACGCAGACAGCAACAAACTATCTAAAAATAAAAATATAACCGTTTGCTAATAAAATTCACCTGGCAAAAAAACTATTTAGTTCTGAGAATGTTTAATTCAACTGATTGTATTCTAGTAAATATTCACAAACATATTTCAGAACTGAAAAAAATTATCTGGATTAATCAAAAATTAAGCCGCAAGAGTTTTCACAAAAATATCATATTTAATTAGAGATTGACCTCACCAAAATTATCATCGATTGTTATTCCCTAGCCGTCTTTGACGCCGTTTTTTTCGATTATGCGGTTTTATTGGAGTTAACTCTAATTTTTAATTTTAGGTATCGATGCCGAAAAGAATGGGCAGTCGAAAGGAGAAGAAAGACAAAGAAAAAGCAGAAAAGGAGTGGCAAGATGCCTTGCAAGCTGTCATTCAAGATATGACAGCGAAAGCTGCCAATAAGGAACCTTCCATTGTACAAATTGTTATTTATGAAAGTTCGGTGTGAATCAAATAAAATTATTTCTTGTTGTAAACTAAAATGTTTTATTTTTAACTTTATTATTTGCACTATAAGATATAAAAATTCATAGGAGGGTATTTCGAAGATATATCCAAAAGAAACTAAATAAAATTACTTTGTTTTCAAGCTCTTTATACCTATTCATAGAAATACCGTACGATCGAGAAAAAAAACGGCGTCCAGTTGGCTTGGAAAACATTTATCCCCATATAATTTTATGTAATGTATAAAATGACAGCTATCTTTATTTCATAGCCATCGCTGACGCCATTTTTTTTTCGATCAGTGTCTATTATTTGAAAGAGAAATAAAATTAGTATTTTATGATAAAATACAGTATGTCCCGGAATTTCCTTTACAAGAGGATAAACTTTTTATTATTGACATTTTAAGAAAACTGCGTTCTTCATAAAAATCTTTGCTTGTTTTAATATGTTTAAATCCCTTTATACTTTTCCAAATTTTCATACTGTTTTAGAGATAATTATAAAAAACATAAAAAAAGTTTTAAAAATTACAAAGCGTTTCTATATGGTGATTCTTTGATGGTTATTATTAATTTTAATTAACTTTAATATTTTTTGTTGTTGTTATAAGTTTGTTGTAAGTTGTAAGCATAGAGTTAAAAATTAAAAGTTGTATTACATTTTCCGAACTATTATCCTCCTTTCCATAGCATTGAAATAAATAAATTTTGTGTTTCTTTAACATTTTAAAACAGCAGAAATGTGACTTCTATATTAAAATTCTATCAATAATACTACCGTATGATCGAAAAAAATGGCGACCAGTTGGCTTGGAAATGACGATCGATAACATTTCCAGTATAATTTTACATATAAAACGACAGCGATCTACATTTCATAGCCATCGCTGACGCCGTTTTTATTCGATCATACGGTATATTAAAGAATTAAAACGATATTATATTACCATAGAAATGCATTTTTATTTTTAGAAAATCAACCATATTTTGATGTTTTTCTTACTTTCTCTAAACGGTATGGAAATTTGCAAAAGTATAAACGAGATTAACCATTTTTGAAGAAGCAAACATTTTGAGAGAATGCATTTACCTCAAAATGTCAATAATAAAAAAAAGGTTTTCCTCTTGTAAAGACAATCCGGGGCATACTGTAGAAACATTATAACAAATATTAAAATATGTTGGTTAGAACTTAGAATTACAGTTTGATATTTTTCTATATTCCCTATCCGCAGTTTGTTTTAAATAAGTATTTTTACTTACCTACTGTTAGAGATATATTACAATTGATCTCTATAACAGTAGATTGTTTATTTACAGGTGATAATTTTGTATTGACGTTTTTAGTAATAAAGTTGTCAGAAGCTAAATATTTAAACTGGATTTATTTCCAAAGGAATTTCGTAAAGGAGATATAAGACTACTGACAATGTATAAATAAAAAGTCAAAAATAAAAGATTTGTAAAAACATAGCAATATAATCCCGGCGCATTCGCCATGATAAAACACAAAAAATTAAATGGAAGCAACTTAATAAAAATTTGTTAAAAATAATGCTATAAGTTATCAATCATAGGCAGCAGAACGGTACCAAAGTTTACACGGTACTAAAAAAAGGTTTTAAAAGTTTCAGTACTTTATTCAAAATTCTTTAGGGTTAAATTTATAAACAAATATTAAAAAATACCTTAAAAAGCTTATAAAAAAAATATTAAAGTTAAAATACTGGTAATAACTAGCAAAATTAACGTAGCAAAAAACAAAATTATTTTTCATTGACATTTTCTATACCGGGTGTTTTTTTAAAGCGGTTCGCCCCTATAACTTTTTTATTTTTTCAGATAAAAAAACGAGATTTGGTATGTCAGTATATGACATAAATCAGGATAGATTGACGTATTCAATTAATTTATTTATTATTATTATACACTCTGTATATTTTTACTTTATTTGATAGAAAATGACATTGTGAATAGAATGTCATATCATATGTCAACTTTTGACATTTTCAATTAAAAAATAGCATTTTAAATTTCATTCTATAGAGTCATGGCCATAAATATAAATAATTCGTAAAAAATGTTTTTTCCAGATAATATGCTAATGACCCACCCTCGTTTTATTTCGAAAAATTGAGATACGACTATAAATACGATTTGGGCATCTTGCAACCGGCCAGGAAAAGACACGAAAATCATTAGACGATCAAATATATTTTTCCAAAGCTCCTTGATCAAAAATTAATAGTATTAACATAGCCATGGCACTCTAGATTGAAATTTAAAATACTGCTTTTTTTTCATAAATGAAAATGTCAAAATTTGTATATAATTCTAAGTTATAGAATTTGTTCATTTTCACAAAGTGATGCCACATGATACCAAAGTCCAAACCACTATCAAAAAAAATCTTTATTAGTGACCGGTTTCGGCAATTCCAGCCATATCATCAGACCTTTGTCAAAGACAGTTTTGTTCGTTTGACTTTATAATATATAAAATTATTAATCACACAGGGTGGCCTAAACTATATTTCGGAAACTTCGGCAGCATATTCTGCAGATAAAAATAAGTAAAAAAGTTCGTGTAAATATATGTCCTAAAATAGTTAGTTTCGGAGATACCGAGTGTAGATATTTCATCTTTATTTCGTTTTTGTCCAAATAATTTCTGAAGAATATTTGGATGAAAATTGAAGTCCTGGAGTTTTTTGACATGAGAAATTCGATTTTGATGTCAATATGACTCCTATTTGTAGGAGGCGCCACCTACATGTGTTTTAACTTTTTTGAAGAGTAATAACTTTTCGTCCGTACCAGTATAAAACTACTGAGTGGAAAAATATACATTTCCGTATTTTTTACGTAAAAAATGTATCTTGGTAAAAATTGCTACGAGCAACCGTTTTCAAGATATTTCGAATGTAAATTATCAATGCATGTTATTATTGACAAAAAATAAACATGTTGAGTAGATAGTTATCCAATTGAAATTATAAATTTGGAAACTTTTTATTTTTTTAAATTAATTATAAATTTTCTTCGAAAAAATCATGATAAAACAGTTCCTGTTGAACTATTGACACAAAATCATGTCAAATTTATGAGATCAGTCTAATAACTATTTAGTCAACATGTTTAATTTATGTCAATGATGACAGGTATTGATATTTTCGATTCCAAATATCTCGAAAACCATCACTCGTAGTAATTTTTACCAAACCAAAAGACCTTCTTTACGTAAAAAAACTCATAATTTTTTTTTACTCAGTAGTTTTATACAGGTACGGATAAAAAGTTATTACTTTTCACTCCAGTTAAAAAATATGTAGGTGGTACCCTCTACAAGTAGGAGTTATATTGACATCAAAATCAAATTTCTCATGTCAAAAAACTCCCAGACAGCAATTAAATCATCCAAATATTGACGTTACTTCAGAAATTATTTGGAAAAAATCTCTGTATAAAAATAAAACTTCTACACCCTGTATCTCCGAAACTAAGCATTTTAGGACATAAATTTAAACAAACTTTTTTACTTATTTTTAACTGCAGAATATGCTGCCGAAGTTTCCGGAATACAGTTCGGACCACCCTGTATATAAAGTCAAACGCACAACTGTATTTAACAAAGGTCTAATAAAAAATAAATAATTTTGACAGTGGTTTGGACTTTGTTCTTGATTTTAACATCAAGTATATAATTCTATTAAGAATGTCATTTTATATTAAATCCTCGTAAAGTAAATGAATACGGAGGGCATCATTTAACAATTAAAAGTTGTACTTATTTCCGGTGAAACAAGAAGTGACCAAGTCATATTCTAACGTACCAAGTTTCACTTTTTTATCTCAAAACATAAAAATGTTATAAAAATGAGCCAGTTTTTTTCAAAAACACCCGGTATAGTGAATTATACAATCACATTATCGTGTTCTGTAGTTGAAGGTATCTGGAGGCTCTTCACGCTTCTTTTCTGGGAAAGATTCGCCGTAGTATTGAACATCAGGAGACGAAGAACGTGCAAAGATCTTTTGAGCATTTCTTCGAGACTGCATCTCAGTTTCCCCATTAATTAACACACCTGACTCTGACGAACATGGAAACAGAAACAGATTGCATTCTGGCTGATTAGATCCAGCTTTCTTCGAACTTCCATTCTTCATTTGCAGTTGAGTCTCGCGAGCCTCCATCACAGAGTTGAAGATCTGGCGCTGGACTTTTACCTGTAAATTATAGTTGGGGATTTAAAATCTACTCTGTGTTCTGTGTCCCATGAATGCTGACAAATCTTAGATTTCCGAAAATCGCTTTTTTTAAATATTCTTTATGTTTTTTTAATTCATACATTTAACGGTCTAGATGATTTACCAATGTAAAATTTATCACATTCACATGGTATTTTGTATATTACATTTTTTGTTTGTTGTTCAGGTGTTCATTGGTTTAGTGTGGGATCTAAGTGTGTTTTGTGTTTTGAAGGTGCTCGTATGTTATGTCGCTTTTATATACCGGGTGGTGCATCATCGTTTGTGTTTAATTAAGCTTGATTTTGACGCGTCCGTTATCTGTTGATACGATGGTCCGACGCGATGCGACGTCGCGGCGCCGCGCTCTGATTGGTCATAGCGTTTTCGCGCCACTTTTCGGGCACGAACACACTGACGACCAGGTCGCACCGGCCAGGCCGCTGCTACCTCTAAAACCATTAAATCAAATGATACCGCGCACACTAACGTCCTGGCCGTCCATTGGTCGTTGCGACAGGTAGACTGCACTAAAATATTATTATTTTCTGCCGCTTGTTGCCGGTTTTCTTCCAAATTAATAATTTTTCAGATGAAATCCCTCAAATTCAATGCACAATATTTTATTTTCTAAAAGATATAGTGTTTTAGTGTAGTTGTTGCACACGTGCAGAAAATCCAAAGAAATAGTATACAGACTGGATCAAAGGGAAACTTAAATCTAGTCCCTTTTTTATCAAGGGTCGATTCTAGTAAAAATTCAAAACATTTTTATATGACATACAATATTTAAAAAAATTAAGAGTAAAAGTAACTTAAACATTCATAAAAATAGAAGTATTTACTGTTGTAGATTCTCAGTAACAATAAAAAAGAGGAATTTATATTGTAAACATTGAAATAACTGGAAGCTAAACTTTCTACCTGCTTATATTTAGAGCCAATGTCTGACGACCTTTTTTTACGATGGCCCTAATATGTTTACTTCTAAAGTCGTTAAGAGCCATCAATAGAAGTCCATATCAGTAGAAAAAAGAAACAGAATATCTCCCTTTTTGTCGGTCGCGCGTACAAAATGCTTTTTGTTCGGCCTATTTGTTCTGCTTGTTCGTGTGCGCTCGGTTCGTTCGGGCTAAAATCAGAGTACTTAAACCACCGAGTAGCGACAGTCCCGTTTTCAATTTTCTTTGCGGCTGCGCGAAATAAGTTGTTTATCTGTCATATGAAGAAGCGACGTTGCCACTGTTGCCATTTATCAAATATCTCTATATACTTTATTTCAAGTATGCCTCAGGCAACGGATCTAGGTACTCTGTTGCCAGTGTCAAGTTTTCACAATTTTGTTTATAATTTAGATTTGATTTTTGATAGCGAATTTGAAAAAAAAATGATAGGTGATCAAATTTCAAATTCGCTTTTAAATATATTCAAAAATATTGAATTTGATCACCCCTGTAAAGACTTTCCAAAATCATTTCTTTTAAAATTATTTATTAGGTGTAAAATATTTTATACTTTAAAATTTAGAAATAGAGATTTTAAATTTAATAAAACCAAAAAAAATGTACGTAAATTAAGAAACTTAATGCATGTATAATTAAAAAAGTTATAAATCGAAACATTTGTTTTTTTTTCTTTCCAGCATCCTTATAAATTAGTATTCTAGATATCTTTAGTAAAGCCCTGTTGACACGATCCAAGCGTACTTGGACCGAGTCAACCGGGTAAAATGTAATACCAGGTAATACTGTATGATCGAAAAAAAACAGCGTCCAGTTGGCTTGGAAATGAACATCGATGACATTCCCCATATAATTTTACATATAAAATGACAGCGATCGTCATTTCATAGCCATCGCTGACGCCTTTTTTTTTCGATCATATTGTACTTTTTAAATTCTTTTTTGCATCAATTCCATTTTTTTTATTACTAAGTTTTATACAAATTATTTTATGTAAAATAGGTAAAAAATAAACTCACAAAAAAAGATAAAAATCGATATTAGGTAAAAGCACAAAAAACTTTTTTTGCATTTTAAATAGCAACCACAAGGTTTCTTTTCAATCTTTTTCAATGAGATTCATATTATATCATTTATCTCTAAATATTATAAATATTTAATTCCACTTCAAATGGTGAGCAGTGTATACCACGTTTATAGGACCACTTCATAAGTTGAGCAGTTAAATACGTTGTTTATCTGTCAAGCATGTGATAAGAGAGAGAAAGAAAATTTGGCCCCACCACATCAAAAGAGCCGACGGTGTCTGTCGCTACTCGGTGATCTACGTACTCTGCTAAAATGCTCAAGTCTAGACGCACCTTTAGGAACAATACTGTTTTTGTCCTTTATTGATATAATAATGAAAATCTCTCGAGTTACATATCTCACTCTACACATATTAAATTACATAGACGTAGGATGTAGAATATTCTGTTATGAAACGACTGATGAAATAGCAGGCATCGAGGATTTGAAAAACATGGAAATAACGGGGTTAGAGATTTTACTTGCTCCATTTACCACACCAGTATTTATTAACGAATTTTACTTAGTTGGGGTTGGAGATTTTACTTACTCCATTTACCACACCAGTATTTATTAACGAAAAATCCAAGAATATTTTAAATGCATTATTTAATATTAGAACATTTAATAAGCTCATGAATAACAACTTCGCTTTTTAGTTAACTCGGATATTTTAACATTTCTGAAACAATATTTTCAAATTGGTAAAACGTAAAAAATCGTTAGATCTGACAACTCTGTTGAAACTGGTCGTTCATCTGGCCGCAGCTATAAACGCAATGCATCCGGCCAGCCGACAGCCAGGTCGTTGCGACCTGGTCGTCAGTGAGTTCGAACCCTTAATCAACCCGTAATTTTTTTACTCCAGGGGCGCTATTCTGTAAAATCGTCGGTATCGGTAAGTTACGACAGCTCTCGATACATATTTGTATATAGTAAAAATGTGTTAATTGTTGCTCTCATAGTTACCGATCGATCCTATGGCAGATATCGCAAATTTGTACCGACGAAAATCAGTATCTCTACCGTGCCCTTGTCAACCTCACGGTAGAGATACCGAGAGTCGTCGGTATAAATTTGCGATATCTGTCATAGGGCCGATCGGTAATTATGACAACAACAATCAACAAGACGCTCATTGGCCGTACCTACCGATAACTGTCGGTAACTTACCGATACCGACGATTGTACAGAATAGCGCCCCAGCCCGCCAACGGAGAAAGATCGTACGATAACGGACGTTTTTTTTTTAAATTTAAACTAACCTTAATAAAAATATAATAGTACAAGAGCTAGCAACGTCGGGAAAACGAGAATAAGCGAGGGCCATCGGGCTGCCAGTAGTCTACTGCGGTTCACTACTGCGCATCACATCTGTACAGGGTATCCCATTTTTGTGTGGTTTATGGGATTTCTCGTTTATGAATACAATATATACTCAAAATAAAATATGATGCGATTTTCACATTAGGTACTTTACTACTTTTTTATGTAACTAAACATGCTACACATATGTTTGTCCTAGCCTCTTCAGTTCCTGAAATACCGGGCGAACTTGTGATGCGCAGTAGTGAACAGATGTTGAATACAGATATGATGCGCAGTAGTGAACGCAACGTCTACCGGCAGCCAGGCGGTCCGCACTCTATTCAGGAGAGCATAGCAAAAGATATATTAAAGAACCGGCTTTCTTGAAATTATCTCCCGAAAACTTTGCTAGCTCTTAGACTATAAAACAGCGAAATCGTTATGGAAATGCAAATACAAAATGACACCAATCACAAGCAAATCGTAAATCCGAGGAACGAAGACATGAAAATGCAATAAATTTAAAAAACTGCGCAATTTTCAAACCAATGCGTATCATCGTATCGTCGGATAACGGATGCATGAAAATCAAGCTTTAGTGTTTTGTTTAGCTTTTACCTGTAAACATTCTGGTAGGTCTTCGGTAATGTTACACATACTGTCAAAGAATTTTTTCACAGCCGTGTCTTCCTTCTTTTTGACGTTTGTTTCTCGGACATTTTTATTTTTGCTTTGATCTTTCTTTTTTTGTTCTTGTTCTAGATTTCCTGACGTGCATTCGTCAATTTTTCTTTTGTTTAAAACTACGTTATTAAAAGCTACGTTATTAGGTGCAGGTACGTTATTCGTTGCACCAAGTTGAAAGGAACGAGATTGTATTATACGTGGAGTAATACTGACATTCACGCCTCGTCCTCTAAATTTCATATACGGCAGTAGAAATTCCATGTGTTTTTCGTATATCCAGGGTCGTGTATCACCTTCCCCTACTGCTGATATCTTCTTAAGAATAGCTTGTCTATGGCTGGCTTTCAATTTCGTCCACATACTTTTTGCTTCATTTACTAAAAGAAATAAAGAAACATTTTTTTTATTCAACATAAAATTCTACTATAGAACATTTTATTTAAATAAAATTATATAGGGATTCTTGCCACTTAACTGCTGATATAGAAATTTAATTCTACGCTGTGTTTGTCATAATGTGGATCAACCTGCTCTCACTACCGGTTTCGGAGCCCTACTCCATCATCAGGTGAGCTTGGGCAGATCCACAAAATGACAACCACAGCGCAACCATATTAAGTCCCGAACGGGAGATAGCCTAACCGAGGCGCAACTATCGATAGTAAAAGATGGTAAAAGGCTTTTTTTCAGGCAAGCCAAATTATAAGTTTGATAGTTGCGCCTCGGTGGTACGAAAGTACTACCATTATTGCACGCAGGCCGCTATCTCCCGTTCGGGACTTAATGTCTAACCGACACTTTCCGACAAGTCGGAATTAACTATCTCTGCGCTGTGGTTGTCATTTTGTGGATCTGCCCAAGCTCACCTGATGATGGAGTCGGGCTCCGAAACCGGTAATGAGAGCAGGTTGATCCACATTATGACAAACACAGCGTAGAATTAAATTTCTATATCAGCAGTTAAGTGGAAAGGATCCTTATATAATTTTATTATATACCTATACTGCAAGAAATTTGTTTTCTATTTTATTTAAAGAAATATGCAGTGTTTACTATTTGTCATTTACTCAACGTAGAATTTTGAACATCCTGTATGATTTACGATTACCATATTTATAGAAAAGTAAGTACAGACCATCTAAAGTAAATATCTAATACAGTTTTGATTTCAGAACAGTTCTTGTATTGTTAATAATTTTTTTTAATAAAGGCTAAAAAATATATATATTTTATTTATTTGTTAATATCTCTATCTTAAAAAAATTCATACCAATCCACTGGCACTTTTTTGAGCCACCCTATAGAAGTAAAAATATTTTTCTGAAATACATCCTAGTTAGGTGTGTACTTAAACAAAATTTTCAAGTTTTTTATTCTAGGAGCTACAGATGCCCGACGGACTGTTGCTGGATTATTTTTTAATGACCCAATGCATGTTTTTTTATATGAGTCCGATATTAATTAAAGATAAACAGTGTCCCAATATTAAGCATTAATATATACCAAATATTTATTTTAGAAAAAGGGCCAATACATATATTTCAGATTGGGGCAATATACCAGGTGCGTCTGAAAAGTGGTTCGCCCCTATAACTTTTTTATTTCTTCAGATAAAAAAACGATATTTGGTTCAATTGTTTTTAGCCACTCTGAATAGAATGACATATCATATGCCAACTTTTGACATTTTAGCCTAAAAAGTCGTATTTTAAATTTCAATCTAGAGTGCCATGGTTGTGTTAAAAACACTGATTTTTAATCAAAGAGCCTTAAAAAAATATATTTGATCGTCTAATGATTTTCGTATCTTGTCCTGGCCGGTTAAAAGATGCTCAAATCTTATTTTAAATCATATCCCAATTTTTTCAATTGGAACAAGGGTGGCTCATTAGACTAAAAAGCATTTTTTACGAATAATTTGATACCGGACACTTGGTATTTCAAGTCAAATTGTCGTTATGAACAGCATGTTACTATTACACAAACCATATGCGAAAATGTCAAAAGTTAACATATGATATGTCATTCTAATCAGAGTGTCATTTTCTATCGAATATAGTAAAAATATACCTTAGGTGACATTTAAAAATCAAAAGTTGTAGTCATTTCCGGTGAAACAGGAAGTAACCAAAAACAATTAAATACGTCAATCAATTCTCATTTGTGTCATATACTAACATACAAAATCTAGTTTTTTTATCTGAAAAAAATAGATATGTTATACGGGTGTGCCACTTTTGCGACGCACCCGGTATACTTTGTATATAGAATTAATATTTTAAATCTATTACATTAATGATGTAAATAAATTATTGGAGTAGTTAGATGAGTGTCCATTTTAATTTTATATTATTACTCAAAATCTCTATTGTATTTCATGGTTGTTAATTGTAGAAGGAATAATGTTCCAACTGTTCCAAGGGAGTTATGACTCTATTTAGGGTTAACGTAACCAAGACCTTATAAACTTATTTTGATCCAGTAACAAATAAAACATATATACCAAAAATACATACCATTTGATAGGCCACATTCACGAACAACACTTCTCCAGGAGGCGTCCTTATCGGCATTGTTTTTATGATTTGTTTCCACTTTCCATAAGCATACATGCCTCTTCACGCTTTCTATAAAATGTTCCATTTTAAATCGATATCTGTATTAAGTATTGATCAATAAAATCAAATATCTTGATGAAATTTAAATATAGAAGATCAATAAAAGGGAAACTGCAAACATTGACAATTATCAGTACAACAGTCTACCAACTCACTACCGGCTAACTGACAATTGTTAGAGTCGCTGTCGATGATAATATCATAATATTCCATACGTAGAACTAGAAAAACGCAAGAAAAGTTTGATACAGCATAATGAAATATCCTTGGAAATATCAAATATCGCTCGGAAACAATGATGCCAAATTTAGATTTTTTATTATATCTATACGAAAAATACTATTTAAGTTAGAAAGCTTTACTATAACAACAGAGAATTAGCAAAAATAAATACTTCAGTTCACCACAATACACCAAAATACTTTACTTTTAAACAATGGACAAGTTCTTGGCTAACCATGTTAGCATCATCAGCAGATGATTTCAAACTCAGATTTATATAAATGAATTAGTGTTTTGCAGTTTGTTAGAAGACAACAATTTGGAATACAAGACGTAGTGATATGGGGTAGGCAAAGAAAAATACAAAGGTTCGCACACGTAAAACGCACGGAAGAAAACAGACTTCCACGGGAAACCCATGAGTAAGAGACAGCCCGGAAGACCTCCAAAAAGATGGTAAGACAGTTGACAGTCCATCTCCCAAGAACTCCTACAGAGGCAACCTTAAAACTAACAGATCGACTAGATCTCAAATAAGTAAAAGAAGAAGAAGAAGAAGAATTAGTGTTTTATTTTGCTGTTGTAACATCAAAGGTTCCATCCAGCAAATTTCCAACCAGTAATTTGATTGAGAAAGAGAAAAACTTTTGTCTATCGTTTCTGGATGTTCTTGAAAGCTTTGCTGTATATAGAAAACCCACACATACGGGACAATATATAAATTCTCAGTCAAACCATTCTGAAGCAACCAATATATAATAGGATAATAGGTAAAGTTTAAACATGTCATAGAGCAATCACTATAATATGCAGTGACCAAGAATCTCTGAATTCTGAACTAAATAATATTAAAACCGATTTGCTTTAGAATAGTTACTCTGCTATACAATACAGGGTGGGCCACTGAAAACTTACAATGGCTATAATTTTTAAACCAAAAAAAAATAATAAATAATAATATAAAATATTGTTTCTATAATATCGAGGGGGAATACATATGACGTATTTTTTGAACCACCCCGACCTACCCCTAAGGCGGCACCATTACTCACATGAAAATCTTAAATGGCAACACCCCACTTGTGGCGCCTTTTTGGAAAGCCCATGAAAAATGCTAAACGATGATCATAAAGTTTTTAGGGTGAAATTGAAAAACTACCCCTTACACGAAAAATTAGGTGGACATTAATGAGAAAAGTGATTTTTTCAGCATAAGTTACAAATTGGGACCCAGCTAAATGAGGTTTTTTTCAAACTACCCCGACCCACCCCTAGGTGCCCCCCCCCCTCACTTCTAACCTCAAGATAGCGATACCCCACTTGTGATACCTCTTTGGAAAGCGTATAAAAAATGCTGAACGACTGTCATAAAAAAAGAACGAAAAAAAATAGAGCCTAAAAATAAAACAAAAATGTCAAAACGTGTTAAAATCAATAGAATGAATTATTTTTGTATCCATGAACTATTGCGAGAAAAAAAAGCTGGTAAAAAGAAATTTATTATAACTCTTAATGAAGACCTCATACACTTTCAGCAAGATGGAGTCCCTTCGCATTATTCTATTGTCACAAGGCGGTGGTTGGATAAATATTATCCAAGGCAATGGATTGGCAGAAGGGGTCTAATCGAGTAGGTTAGTAGTTAGGCTTTTCCTTGTGGGGTTACACTAAATCCATAGTCTACAAGACAAAACCAGGTTCGTTGCAAGAATTGCGGCAGAGGAGAACTGAAGCATGTCGAAATATTCCGAGAGAGACTTTCCAAAAAGTGAGAGAAGAATTTGAAAATCGTTTGTATTTTTGTATGGAACAAAACGGCTGTCATTTTGAGCAATGATTAAAATAAATTATCATTTAAAATTTCTTTCAAATTGTCACACATTTCTTGTCACTAACGAGTAATTAAGTTGAAGTCTGTATGACCATCTTTTAGCAATTTCAATTAGCTTTCCAAAGAAGTGTCACAAGTGGGGTATCGCTATCTTGAGATTAGAAGTGAGGGGGTGCCACCTAAGAGTGGGCTGGGGTTGTTTGAAAAATACATACTTCATTTAGCTGGGTCCCAATTTGTAACTTATTCTGAAAAAATCACCTTTTTCATTAATGTCCACCTAATTGTTCGTGTAAGGGTAGTTTTTCAATTTCACCCTAAAAACTTTATGATCATCATTTAGCATTTTTCATGAGCTTTCCAAAAACACGCTACAAGTGGGGTGTTGCCATTTAAGATTTTCAAGTGAGTAGGGGTGCCTCCTAAGGGGTAGGTCGGGGTGGTTCAAAAAATACGTCATATGTATTCCCCCTCGATATTATAGAAACGGTATTTTTTATTTTTTTGATATCTTTTTTGGTTTAAAAATTATAGCCATTGTAAGTTTTCAGTGGCCAACCCTGTATATTATATCAAAGTGCAAGTCAGACTCATTGGTGCGCCAACCTGAAAAGCTGAGGAGGATGCTCTCTCTCTCTCTTGACGATTCCACATGTGAAAGGAATATCGGAGAAGATCAGGCGAATATAGCTAAGCAGTATAAAATTAAAACTGTTTTTAAGTCCGGGACTACTCTTAAGAAGTGTACTAACAAAAACAAAACCTGAGATCATCAAACCAAGAGAAAGAGTGCATCTACCAGATACCTTGCAAATGCGGTGAGTCGTATATTGCTGAGACAAAACGTCCTCTACATGTACGACTTGACGATAATAAAAAAACATACGCGATGAAGTGAAACAATGAAGTCGGGCATTGCAGATCATGTATCGTCCAAGTACCACAACATAAAATGGTCGGATGCCCGGTTTGTCCACAAATAATACCTTTAAGAAAAGACGTGGCAACATTGAGGTAAGAGTTTCTGAAGGCAGGAAATGTATAATCTGGATGCTGATAATAACATAACATACATATGATACATTTTAATGCATTTTGAATGTGGTAGAAAATGTTTCACTAATGAAACTAAAAGAAATTCTTATGGATCGTTGAAAAATATATACAGGGTCGCTGTTATGTATGGAAACGGTCGATCATTAGGTAAAATATAGGAGTGTAAGATTTTTTTTTGTTTACTTTCTTTATAAAATAATAAACAATCTAAACAACTAACAAAACCATAACTCGTGACAGGATAATTAAAATGTTTTAAAGTATTATATTGTCAGGAAAACAAATAAATAATAAATCACAGACTCACCAAATAATCCCTGAAGCATTGACCCTGAGCGGAGGCGTACTTTAATACCTGTCACAATTAAAAGTAAGGATAAGTGTCCAGTTCATAATTCCGACCTACTTAACTGCTATGTGCCGATATTGTTTTGCCCTAACTACCTATTATTTATTTTCTATTTATCTTACTAGATGGACTAATTTATCTCTGTCTCTCTCAATACAAGATTTACAAACATATCTATGCAAATGCACTGCTTGGCCTTCCGCCCACGCACCCCCTGATGGCGCGGACTCCATAGTAATCAGCCGCACGGGCAACAGAATAAACACAACATATCGATCCCGAGATTCGAGGACCCTGGGGGCCTGATCCCACCGCTGAAGACCCGGAGGTACCGTCCCAGACATAATAATAATGTCCGTTGACACACGGCGTACGGAATCCCAGATCCCTGCCGTGTGCGACGTTGCGACATTACGAGGATTCGCGTCCCTGCTACTATGACATTACGGGATCCCAGATCCTGCCAAGCAACATTAACGGGCCTATCCTTGCGCTTTCTCAAGCTAAGCAGTACTAACTCTACTGAGAACAGAAATTCACTAATCCACCTAAAGCTTACGTGGCTATCATATTAACTAATTATTTACTTTACAAAAGAACTATCCAATCTCTCTCTCTCTCTCTCTTGATTACCAATTTACTTATCTCATCAAATACTACCGTACTGTCTTGCCCCCGTCCACGCCCCCCCGTGGCACGGTCTAGACGAACCAGAAGACCTGGATACAGCGGCTGAATCTCTCGGGGTCCCGCTCCCGCATCTGGTTACGCCCAGAGGCACAACAAAAAAACCGGTGATAACCAGGATTTTACTCCCTACACCGTTGCGACATTACGAGGAATCGCGTCCCTGCTACTATGACATTACGGGATCCCAGATCCTGCCAAGCAACATTAACGGGCCTATCCTTGCGCTCCTCCTGACTAGACAGCACCGACTCTACAGAGTAAAGAGATTCAATAGCCTATCTAAACAAAGCTCACGTAGCTGCCGGATCGGTATACCGCCGCACTACTTAATAGCTAACCCTATCTAACTTTCATATTCTATATTTTGACCTAGCTAATGTATACGGCGCAGTTATTTAATGTAATATTTAATAATATGTGTACGCAAATGATATCTAACTAAACGCACCAATATATTTATCAACCAATATATTTATCAAAATATTCATGATCTAATTAATTAATAAACTACGACACTTAGTGAGATGTACTCACCCTGCTTTCTGCTTATATCACTGCACTAACTAACTAATTAACTTTACTTTAACTGACACACTATTCACGCCATCGCACTCAAAACTATACTGTGCGTCGGAATATGTGTATTTTTCTGCATTAGGTAATATTCTCAGACTTTCTTTTTCGAAACAGAATTGTTTCGACCAATCATCGTTCGATTTTGAACGCTTTTCTAGGAATACTTTTACCCCTAAATCGGAGCGCAGGACGCCCATAAAATCAGATATGGCGTGACATGCTTGAGACGCAGAAATACTTAGCAGGCACAAACTCTTAAAATGTGTCGTTTTAAAACCTATGTTAAAAGAAATATTATTGGGAAAATAAACTCACGTTATAGGAGGTACCGCAAAAAGTTAAATACAAAAATTTATATAGGATTTTTAAATATCTATTAGCTAGTAATAAATTTAAGTATACAGGGTCGGTCATAAAGTCGTAGCACACAGAAGTTTCATTTTTTTAAGTAGAATCCCCTGTATATTACTGCATATTTCAATTCTTCCTTCAATTCTAAGCAAAAATCGAAATACACACAATGTACCTCAAACCAACCGTTTCCGAGTTATTGATTTTTGAAGATATCACTTAAACAATTTGATTTAATTAATTTCGATGTGTTCAGTTTTATTTAACGATGCCATTCTGCCGAAACTGTGAGACTTAATAATATTTGATATTATAGTTCTCAAGTTACCATTTATAGATATACAGGGTGTCCCAGAAATAAGTGCAAGTATTTTAAGGGGTAAATATAAGATAATAATAGATAAAAGAAACATATTTTCTCTTTATAGTTTTTCAAATAAGTCCAAAATAACGGAGTTATTTTAGGTACTTTGAAAATTTCCAAAACTCTAGATCTTCTCTGGATTTTCTTTCTTGTAAATTTAATCTAATACCTATGTTGCCATATTATCAAGAAATTATGTTTTTCAACTAAAAACTAAAAAAATTTCCATTTTTTTTGTGAAAAAAACCTCATACGCGTGTTTCTGGGGTTGAACTATACGACCAGTTAAAATACTTGCACTTATTTCTGGGACACCCTGTATAAAATGAGATTATATCAAGTCTGGAAATTACAAAATCTTCGCTTAACATTTCAATTCTTCAATTTATGTACAGGGTGGGTCAAATTCGACGCTTTTAAATGGAAACACCCTTTTCTAAAGGAGAAAGACGAAAACTAATATCGGTGTCTGAGCTCAATTTTCATCAAAAACATGATGGTGAAAACCGCACATCAATATCTGTTGCCTTTTCCGAGTTACGGGGTGTTTTTCAAAAATGCGCGGCGCTATGTGGAAATTTCTTTTGTCTGCTTGCCATGTATTTAAATGAACCAACGCACATTAGATCACGCAGCGCCGAAGCGCGCCGCGCAATTTCCGTCAAGAAGTCGGAAGACTTCTCTAGCAACTTTTTTCAGTCACCCGCGTTTCGGCGCATTACAGTGTGTGTACTCACAACGGAAATAGATTTGCATCTCGACTCTCTTCAGTTGGCTTTTTGACTAGGAACTAGTGATACGTTTCAGATTTTCATAAAGGAATATGATATTTTTTAGTCTTCCCTCACTAGAGACAGATGGACGAAATGTTTTTCTATCAAAGATTTTATATAATAATTGAGGGGTGTAAAAGCAAAACCGGCAATCATCACTTTTTGGCAAAAGGGACAATCTCCAATTTTTAAATTCTAATTACCTAAATATTTAAAAACGATTAGTGATGATAATGACACCCTCTATATTTTTAATTAACTGAAAAGAATTTAAAATTACCTTTCCAAAAGTATAGCACACTTGATATTTTACAGAATATATACAGAATTTTTAAAAGTTCGCCACTTTTAACTAGTAGGCTTTGGACACCTTATTGATGATATGCCCTTAATAGAACTCGAAAACATATTTTTCCTGCAAGATGACGCACCGCCTCTGAACGCTGAGGTTATCAGCAAATTTTTGCAGCCAATTTCAAGAATAATTGAATAGCTAACCAAGATCCCAGCCGTCGGCCGTCGAGGCCGCCTGACTTAGTGCCCATGGATCTAATCCTATGGATACATTTGCGGAAGAATAAAAGTTCCTTATTCTTCCGTATAATCTAGACAAGAATTAGAAATACTTAGCAGTTATGAGAGGGCATCTTTCACCCCCACTGAGTTAATGAATTCCGCGAGAAATGTTCAAAAACTGCCCCGTCTGTCCATAACAGAAGACGGTCGATATTATATGCTACTTATTTTTATTGTTATTAGATATAGTTTATGTGTTGATGTTGGTTAAATATATTTTAAATTGTTATAAAATTCTGCATCTCTCATAGCAAATATTATTTTCGTTTTAATTGATGCTCACAGCTAGAATTACAGCCGGTGCCGTTCAAAGCCTACTTATTTAAAGGGGGCGAATTTTTATATACTCTATATCTCGAAGAGGAATCGAGCAAAATATCAAGTGTGTTATATTTTTGGAAAGGTAATTTTACATTTTTTTCAATAAATTAAAAATATACAGGGTGTCCCATATAAAAAATCAAATTTTCTGTTGATAATTCTTAAATTATTAATTTTAAAAAAATTATACTTAAACCATTAAATTCTACCTAAAAATGTGCTTTGGAAATGTTTTCATTAAAATACAAAATTTTCCATAGCAAAAAAGTTACAGCGACTTGTTAAAAAAGCATATTTTTAAAAAACACCCCGCAACTCCGAAACGGTAACAGATATCGATATGCGGTTTTCGCCATCATATTTTTGACAAAAATTGAGCTCCAGACACCGACATTAGTTTTGTCTATCTCCTATAGAAAAGGGTGTTTCCATTTAAAAGCGTCGAATTTGACTCACCCTGTACACTATATTGCCGGACCTTGTAGATCATTTTCCGTTTTACCTGACACGGAAAACGTTATGTGTAGACAGAGCTTAAAGAAAATAAAAATAGAAAACTACATTTACTATTAATAGAATACATTCACGTGTACGCAATAGTAAACAATCGCAACATCGTGCAACAGTCCACAAACTAACATTTTTGATAATGCAACTATAATAAATAAATCACGTGTATAAATTGAAAACCCTAATAAAATTAAATTGAGTCATTTATTCAAAACTACCGGGCTTGGAATGTTTCAATTTCGTTTCCTTTGAAATCTAATCGACTTTTAGACTGGATTAGTCAAGGCATCATGTGGACTTTGTCCACCACCTCAGTGCGGGTAGTACTAAAGTCGAACCAATGAACAAGTCACACTGCGATCCCTGATCGATTCTCGAACGTTATCGTGTTTTTTGTGTGACACACATGGTATATCGGCCGATGTAGAGTATATTCCGTAAGTACTGTCATGCATAACTGGAGGTACTCGTATCGTATATTTTATGTACTCCTTCGTATATTTAAAAAAATGTTTTTCTTTTAGGTTACTAATATTTTGGCCCTATTATTAATGTTTTAATATATTTTTGTAAGAAGTCCAAAATAACCGAGTTATTTTATTTTGAAAATTAAAAAAAATATATTGTTTGCTTACATTTTGAGAACATACGACTGATAGATCTCCATTACGAAAAAAAATATTTTTTGCTAAAATTGTGAGATGGATTTTTTTTCTTGTAAACTTCATCTAGTACCATGTTGCCATATTATCAAGAAATTATGTTTTTTAACTAAAATCTGAAAAAAAATCAAAAAAAAACTCATAATCGTGTTTCTGGGGCGAAACATACTACCCCTCAAAATATTTGCACTCATAAAGACTCACCCTGCATATAGTTACCAAAATAATTTTCGATCAAAATCGAGATTATACAGGGTGTTTCAAAAAACATGTGCCACCTCTCGAGGGGAGATTCCTCACGTAAAAATAAGATTTATTTTTCATATGAAAATAGGTCCGATTCTGGTTTGCTTCGTAGCTACAGCCCAAGTAGCATCTATCTGACTTCGAACTAAATCTGACCTGAAGCGACGTCAGACTTTGTGCAAATTTAGGTCGGGTGCTCGTGATACCACCTGTGACGTCGCTTT